GAGCTGCCTCACCTGATAACATATCCCCATCTCAGGAGCAGTATGCCTCTAATAGCTGTTTTATGTGGGAGTAAAACAGTCTGGCCCCATTGTCCCAGTTTGAGACAACTCTTCAGGACCATCCCAGCTCCAGAGCTCCTTGTAGTATCAGCTGAAGCATTGCTGTGCCTGCATCCCAGCCTAACCTTTGCCTGGGCCCAGTTTTGTTTCCTTCACATTCCCACAGCTGTTGATCTTAATAGTACTTCCCAATAAACTTCCTGCCTGCAAATTTCACATCAGAAGCTGCTTCCTGAAGAAACCAAGCTATGACCAGAGTAACACAATAATTTCTTTCATAGATGTTTTTATTTTGCTTTCATTAATCAAGATTGCCTTAATAGAGAATAAAGCCATGAAATAATGGAAAACTGAGCCTGGAGAAAGGAAAGTGATTTCAGCATATATGGGGCTGTCTGGTAGTTGTGGAGGCTAGAAGCCAGAGCCCAGGCTGCCAGGGGCAGGAGTGAGGCGGGCAGACAGAAGAGCACAGGACCTTAATTTGTATAAGAAGGAATACTCCAGATACATTTTCCTCCTTCAGTGCCAGGGATAATTTTTTCTTTTTATACATCTACAAATTAATCCACAACTCAATTTTCCCATTGTGGTGTTCTCCCTGGGATTTGAGAGCTCGTAGTGGTCCAGTACTGATATGTAATACAAAGCACTACCTTCTGTTTTTAATTACAATATGTAATCTAAGAGACTAGAATTGGGTGCACTAAAATGATTTTTATACCAAAGGGCACAAAAGCATCCCTTCACATTTTAAAAATCTTTAACCATAATTGACTGAATCTTATCACATTGCTATGGCCACACCTGAAATGTCTCAATTTCATAGTGCCCTAGCTGCTCTCACACTGAGTCATCTACTGGCCTTCTCCAGGGAACTCTAGTCATATTTTTGTTTACTTCCCTGCTATTCCAATTGCAATCCTCTGACAAGCAGCATCAGCATCGCTTGGGAGCTTGTTAGAAATTAAGAATTTCAGGCCCTTCCCAGACTTACTAAACCAGAACCTGCTCTTTAGAAAGATTCCCAGGTATTTCTTATGCACACTGGTGCTTGAGAAGCGTTGCTCTATGTGACGGAAATTATCTGGAGCTGTGCATTTTGCAGCTTGCATGGTTCTACACAACAACTCTGATATTAGAGGCAAGGTTGGCGATGCTACCTCTGTCATTTACACCAACCAACTATGACAGTCCTTAATGTTAGAAAGTTGGAGGAGGGAACTGAAGCCACAATGATTTAAAAAAAAAAAAAAAGCTGTTCCAAAAAGGTAATTAAAAAGACAAAATGACTCCAAAAAATTAATAAAGACAAAATATCATGTGATACATACACCAAAAGGAAAACAGCAGTTTATTAGGACTCAGTCTACGCTCTCTAAAATGACCTACAAGAATGAACCTGCATAATCGGGCCCCTATTTCTCCTTTCATATTTATTTTTGGCCACCTCCCACCTCTACTGAATACACACACACACACACACACACACACACACACACACACACATAAATGCTAGGCTGGTCTCTTCATTTTCATCTTGATCATTGCATGAGATCTCTCTTTCTGAAATACTCCTTTCATCTAAACAAATTATATTGTTTTTCAAAAATTTTAGCTAGATTTGTATTTAAAAAGAGGTGCATATACATCACATAATATTTTAACAGTAGAAAAAGCATACAGTACAAATAATATCCCTTCCACATTATCCCAGGTTGTCAGGCCTGTTCTCCAGAGACAACTAACTTACCACCTTCTCATATTTCCTACAGAAATATTCTACCTATTGTAGCACATTAATATCTCTATTTTTTAAACACACATAAGTGTGTGTAGGAAACCAATTCTTTGCTTGGCCTTAGTCCATGATAGCACCTGCATACCTCATTCAGCTCTCCCAGTGCTGTCAAATGTCTGGTTGGAAGGAAGAGCCTCAGGCTATTCAGCCAGGGCCTTACTATGTGATGACTCTTCAATGAAGTGAGTACAAACCTTTGTACAGTAAAATATAATCAGCTTCGAATAATCTCTTTTTATAAATTGATTTTGTCAAACACCGAGTATTGTCCAGCTCTCATTTAGCCACCATGGCCTCCTGGACACCCAGCTCCATCCCCTGGACTCAGGGAGACACCACCCTCCAGCTGGGTTCCTGTTCCCTGCATCACAGCCTGGAAACTCTCCAGAAAGTGAGCTGTGGCCATAATGGGGTTTATTTCATCCATTCCCCTCTTGCACTACCTGATGTCCATGGTGTGAAAACCCTTCGTAACACATTTTCCCCGTTTTTAAGTGTTTCAGGTAGGAGATAAATCCAGTTCCTGTTACTCCATCTCAGGCAGAAATAGAAGTATCATTTTTTTAAAAATTTATATTTTTATTTCAAATTTTATATTCGATATTATTTCTTTCATAAAGCCTTCTGAGGTTCCAACAGTACCCTGCATTTCTTCTATGTTGTTGTACATATAATGAATGTCTGAGTCATTAGGCTATAAACCTTGGTTTAGCACTATATCCAGCACCCAACATAGTGGCTGAGTACGTCTTGATTGAGAAAACAAATAAATAATATAATATAAATGGTTTTATTTGTTATCTATTGCAAAAAGAAATGATCACAAACGTAGTAGCTTAGAATAACACATACTTATTATCATAGAGTTTACATATTCAGGAGCCCAGGCATAGCTTAGTAGTAACTTCTACTAAGTAGCAATCAAGGTGTTGGCCAGGGATGAGTTCTCATCTGGAGACTCAACCAGGGAAGAATCTGCTTCTAAGTTTTCTGTAGTAGTTGCTGACAGAATTTGTTTCCTTGCAGTTATATAATTCATGGCAGCTTGCTTTTTCAAATCCAGTAATGGAGAGAGAGACTCTGACAGGATGAATATCCTGCAGCATCTGTGCACACATAACCATATACATCTCATTATCTTTGTTGCATTATTTTGGTTAGAAGCAAGTCGCAGGTCTTGCTCAGATACAAAAGGAGGGAATGACACAAGGTGTGATTATAAGGAGGTGGGACAATGCACGCCTCCTTAAAGTCAGTTCACTACAATAGGTATTGTTAAAGTTTGTTGTTGTTGCCCGGACTGGAATGCAGTGGCATGATCTCTGCTTACTGCAACTGCCGCCTCCCCAGTTCCAGCAATTCTCCTCCTTCAGCTCCCCAGTATCTGGGATTACAGGCATGTGCCATCACACCCAGCTAATTTTTGTATTTTCAGTAGACATAGGGTTTTGCCATGTTGGCCAGGCTGGTTTTGAACTCCTGACCTCAGGTGATCCAACTGCCTTGGCCTCCCAAAGTGATGGGATTACAGGCATAAGACACTGCATCTTGCCTAGTTAGTATTTTTTTTCTAATTTATTTAAAATTAAAATATTAAACTTTTTCAATATGAGAGTCAAATAGTGGCCTATAAAACATTTGTAGTGAGATTGGCCGCTCAGTTTTCTCAAATCTTTTTCCTTCGCATTAAACCGCTGCAGTTGGATTATGTGCTTTTGAATAAACCCAACTTTCTATCTCAAGACGCTCCTGTATTCCACAAGAAAACACTGCTTGCCTGGCAGATGGATATAACATATTTATCTTCCTGATGTGAGTCTTCAAATATGGTTTTCATTTCTGCTAACCTTAGTCAATAATCAAGTTGTTTGTTAAGCTGAAAATGTAAAGCTCGTTGGCAGCTCCATGTAATTCTCATACATTTTTTTTTTTCATCTCAGTAGTTTTATTTTTCTCACACTCCTTTGATTGTTTCTAAAGAATTGGCAATACACTGTCAGGCACCTGTGTCTTTCAAAAGGGAAGAATTTCAAATTTGCCTCTAGAAAAGTTACACATTTTTCCACCTGTTGTACAAGTAAACATCTTCCATATATGTAAAAATAGTATAAGTCCTCTATGAAGTCCATATTAGCAATACTACCCCTTTGAAAAATATGAATCATGTCTAGTTATTTCTTTAGATATGTACTAAGATAAATAAAAATATTGAAAGGGTTTTGATTATTATTTTAAAAAATTCTTATTCACTCTCTGGTAACATGGTGAATATTTATTCAGCCCGCTTGCGTCTTTCCAATGAGCTCACTATTTCACATTCATACCTTATTTACGTGCGGGTGTGTGTGTATGCTTTATCTTTCCTTCCCAGCTTACACTGGTTTCACAAACAACAGCTTGAATGGGATTTGTGGTTGTTATTGTCAAGGCAGTAATTACTAGTGTAACAATATTTTTTAAAAGACAACAAATTATTGCCAACTCAATGCAAATTATGTTTGTCAGATGCAGATGAGCCAGAATCTTGTGTGGACTCCCTGATAGTGAGGAGTTCTGTCCATCTCTGTGCTTTTTACTCTTGATGCTGATACCACGCAAATCAATTGTATGGTAGTCATACAATTCCCAATATTCGTGGGAAACATTGCTTGTTTCCTGTGGGTGGTCTCATCCTTCATTAAATATAATTTAAGTGCTCATGTTCCCAAATTTTACCTTTCATCAGTTCTCTGCCCTTGGATTCAGATGTAAATAGACACTTGCGCTACTTCCATTTTCACCTGGATCTCTCACAGGAAAAGCAAACTTGAACTGTACAAATTCCATTTCTTATAATTTTTCACCAAAGCTATTCCTCCTTCTTTATTTGCTTTATGGTTTATGGCACCATTACCCAGCTAGACAATTAAGAAGCAAATCCTGGAGGCATCTATTTCTCTATCCTCTCCCACATGTACTCTTAACTAATCCATCATCAAGACTTGCAAATCTTATCTCCTGAGTATCTACAATGTATTCATTTTTTTTCACCTCTATTATTATGGTTCTACTTCAGACTTTGGTCATCATGTGTCTGGATAAAACTGCAATTACTTTTTAACTGATCTCTCTCTCTCTCTCTCTGCCCGGTATTGTTCTTCCCAGATTGACTCTCCCTAGCAACAAGAGGTAAGGCACTAACAAAATTGCTATGTAACTCCCAATCTCCTTTAACTCTTTCACCTAACATATAAAGTGTAAGCTTCATAGTATGACATACAACATATAGTACAATCTCACCCTAATTATATTTCTAGCCTTTTTCTCATTACTTCCTTCTGACTCTATGATTCAATATCTATGATAGCAGTATGATATTGCTGCTATCAACCATAATAAAGAAGGTATTCAAGGTTGAAAGTATACCTAGTACCAGATATGTAGAGACACAGACTAGGAAGCTGTGAATATATCCACTGGAGGAGAATAATAAGGTATAGCATCTCTCTAGATAGTTTCCATTGTTGAGACTTTAGAGACAGGTAAATATTTGAGGATAGAGCTCTTCCTATTAAGAGATTAAATGGGAATAAAAGAGAGCCAGGTCCACTTGTCAGTTCCTTGGCTTTAGCAAGTGCCAATAAAAAAATAAAAGTTCATTATCTTATCAACATTTTTGTAATTTTTCAAAATAACTTACAAATTTTTTTTTTTTTGCAAGTATTTACATTCATCCTCCCTGGGATTCCAGCCAGGTAATAAGGATTCTTGTTCCCACCTTTGAAATTGTCAGGCTAGCCACGCTTGGTGATTTGTAATTAATCTCAAGAAAATGGTGAAAATTCTTTAGGCAAGAAGCAATCATTATTTGAGTCACCCAAGCCTTATTGTTGCAATCTTACATTTCTATTTCCCTCTAATTCTCCTGATGCTTAAGTTTCATTGAATCATTTAAGTCCTGACTGAATATCTTGTTTCACCAGTTAACTTATTGTGTTCTTCAGTGTGTTCTCTGACCTCAATCACTGTTGGCTGTTCCCTTTAACTTACACACACCCTAACCATTGCTGTTTTCTCTTTATTCTACATCTATTATTGCTGTATCTTAATTTTATAATGAAGGTGCATCCTTGGGTTCCAGGAACACAGTAGACTCACCTAATACAGCCTTTCCCAATGCTATAATCATATAGAAATGCTAGAGAGAATAAGACAAATAATACTATGAGCATTTAAAAAAGAAAATGGAACTGTATCAATAAACAGAAATGGAAAGAGAACTCAGAAACAAATGATCAGAAAAATACATACACACATGCGCATGTACCTTATATACTCTATGGAGAGATGGGGCTTTGGGATCCTCACATATTGAGGTGTGGAAATTGATACCTTTGTCATCTACCTCTGACATGACAATCCACTCTGGAAAGCTAAGAAAAACATCATTTCATACTGGCCCCAGGGAAAGAGCAGGGAAGCTTGTCTCTCTCACTGATGTTCCAAGGGGTATTACCAAGTGTCCTCTGAGGAATAAAAATGCCAGGCCTACACCACTTGCAAATATAGATCTGAATTCACTTGAACTGTGTGGCGCAGGCATCCCCAAAGTGAAGTAATGTTGAAACTACTGAGAAAGTAGTAGCAGCAAAATGTGACATCACTTACTTGTGTACACACACACAAAACCCATAAATGGATTTTTAATGTGATGACACACAATAAAAACATCACTAAGCATATAAGGAAATTGAAATTCATGAGAGTTACTAGAAAAAAAGAAAAGAATTAAGAACTCACAAATTAGAAACAACATTAAAAAAGCAAAATAGAGTTAACAATTATTTTAAAACTCATCACAGACACAAAAATAGGAGAAAATAACAAAAGCAAATATGGGAAAGGAAGACTGAAAAAAGTAGACCTCTAAATAAAATAATATGTATATTAAAATGCAGACTCAATAAATGGATTGAACGCAGCTGAAGAATCAATGAAATTGAAGATATATTTAAAGAGATAAAACAACGGAACAACTATCGAGGATAAAGGATATGAAATAAATTGGAAAGGGATTCATTTTTTAAAAATAGACATTTCAGATGTAAGAATAAAAAGAATAGAGTAGAAACAAAGAGATAATGACTGAGAATATTCTAGAATTGGAGAAAGACACATATCTTTATACTGAAGAAGATTACTGAGTGACAACTGGAATGAATAAAAATAAATTTGCAACTACATCCAATGTTAGAAAACTGCAGATCACCAAAAAAAGTCTTAAGAAGCATCTCAATTTTTAAAACACACTTCCTACAAATTAATTAATTATTGGCCTTACATGAGGCTTTTCCAAAATAATAACATAGGTCAGATGACCAAATAACATATTTTTATCTCATCACTTTGCTGAGGCATTAAGCTATCAATTTAAAATTTTAGACCAAGTTGAATTATCATTCGAGAGTATAATTAAATAAGCAGATTGTATGATCACTATCATAAATCTTATACAATAATTTTATATCATAAGATTTTCAACCTATAGCTACTACCCAACCCCTACTCCAAATATACACATACAACCACAGAGACATAAAAATTAGATGATTTGAAGATATGCTTCAGTAGAAGAAAACCCAGAAGTGGAAAAGTATAAAAGTCAATGAGGCCGGGCAAGATGGCTCATGCCTGTAATCCCAGCACTTTGGGAGGCCGAGGGGGGCAGATCACCTGAGGTCAAAACTTCAAGACCAGCCTGGCCAACATGGTGAAACCCTGTCTCTACTAAAAATATAAAAATTAGCCTGGTGTGGTGGCAGGCATCTGTAGTCACAGCCACTTGGGAAGCTGAGGCAGGAGAATAGCTTGAACTGGGGAGGTGGAGGTTTCAGTGAACTGAGATCATATCACTGCACTCCAACCTGAGCAACAGAGTGAGACTCAGTCTCAGGAAAAAACAAAAAAAATCAATAATGAGCAGATTAGTCAGTAAACATGGGGAAATACATATAACGCTTTACTATAAAACAGTAATTATAAATGTACATGATTTATAAAGTAAAATTTAAATATGGCAATACCATATAGAAGGTGGGCAGGTGATCAAAGTTCAAATATTAAAACTATGTTGATGTTCTTTATGTAGAAAGAAGTAAGTGCAGGCATATAAATGAATGATGTAATATGAGTTGATTATTTTTACCCAATAAACTAGAGGCATTCTAGGATTAGATAAAATAATACAAATCTACCTAAGTGTTATTTTTATAAGATATATCTAAACCTAATAAACCAGAAAAGGTAAAACTTTAAAGATAGACAATTGTTATGGTATCAATAAAACCTCATACCTGTGCAGAAAGAAAAAGAAAACCCTGAGAATAGCACTATTAATGCCAGATAAAATAGTGTTTAGAAACTCCTTGGCAAATGGCTGATTCTAGTACTGGAACAGGAATCATATAACATGAGCCAGGAGTATCTTGTGGTGCCAGAAATTAAGAAAATAAACATAAAAACAAAACCTCACAAAGTGACAAAATAAAGCAGTTTTGATTTTTAAAATAAATATCTATGAACTCATAAAATGACTAAGTAAACAGGGAGTATACTCAGCCCTCAAAAAGGGAGAACATAACTTCCTACTCCTTAAGTGTGGGCTGTAAAAAGTGACTTTCTTCCAAAGACTATGATGTAGAAAGTGGGGCAAGGAGGGTAACTGTACAGTGGAAAATTCTGACAAACACTCCCTGGACCAAATGATCAAGCTCAATATCATCAGTCAGAAATCCTGTTGATACCATGTACTCTTGATATGATGTGATGAGAATGGCACTTTGTTTCCTAGATATTCGTTCCCCAAACCCATAACCCCAGTCTTATCGTGAAAAATATAGGACAAATTCCAATAGGGTAACATGCTACCATATACCTGACTAGTACTCCTCAAAACTGTCAAGGTCATCAAAATTAAGAAAAAATTAGAGAAACGGTTACAGTCAAAGGATCCTAAAGAGATATGACAACTATACGCAATACAGTCTCCTGGATAGGATTCTGGAACAGAAGAGGTACATTAAGAAAAAATACAGCAACTTTATTAAGCTATGGACTTCAGATAATAATACATCAGTATTAGTTTACTAACTGTAACCCATCGTATCATGCTAACCTAAAATGTTCACAATAGGGAAAACTAGGTGTGGGGTATATGGAGACTCTGTTCTATCTTCTCAAATTTACTTTTTGTAAATCTAAAACTATTCTTTAAATATCTATTAAGAATACTTCTGAAGCAAACAGCAAAATGTTTTCTTTTGTTAAATATGGTGGCTGATTATATGGCTATATTTAATACTACTTGCTATACTTCTGGAGGTTTTTGGGAGCTATTTTATAATTCTTTCTAAATACAATTTTCATTTCATCAACTTCTGATTTTCTGAGGACTGACTGAGTGTGCAAATACTATACTTCTATGTCTTAGAATGTTCTTGGTTCCTCCTGTTCATTTTCTGAATAGTATTCAAAATTTGTGCCTGATTATCAAAACTTACAACAAAAATTATTTAACCACTGTCACAAATTTTCACATTCGAAGCATCCATGGAAGCTTTATGTAAAAATGAACATGAAATATTTATATTCACTTGGCAGAAATGCTAATAATTCAATTAGCTAAAGTCAACATGTCTCAAAAAGTGATTAAAGTGTAGTACTTTGAAAATTTAAACAATTTAGATAATACTAAAGAAATGGAACGATCATAAAATATTTTATGATTACTATATTTCCAAAAGTCATTTATAACTATTATCTTTCTTAAAATTAGCACATAATTACCTAAGATGGCCATATACTTTTGTTAAGTCAACACTCTGTATATTGGTAAGAGTTCTCCAGACAAATAAAAATAGAATGTGCGTGTGTGTGTGTGTGTGTGTGTGTGTGTGTGTGTGTGTGTGTAGACAGATGCAGTGGAGGGGATATTAATTACAAAGAATTGGCCCATGTGATTATGGAGGCTGAGAAGTCCCAAGATTTGCAGCCAGCAAGCTGGAGACCCTGAAGAGCTGGTGTGGTTGCAGTGCAAGTCTGCAAATCTGAGAACCAGGGGAGCTGATGGTTTGGCTCTAGCACCACACTCCTGCCACCTGATTTTATCTGTATTCTTCCAAGTCACATGGGTCACTGTGTCTATCTCCTGTCGTTCTCTCCTAACTCTCCTTCCTCTCAGTTGATTCTGATTTACTCTCATATTTCTGAAATCTAGTGGTAAGAATAATAAGAAATTAACCATGAAAGAAAAGATAATATGTATTGAAATATATCCTAACCCCCGTAACTAAAATGAAACACACCAAAAACCGAATTTCACAACCTGCCGAATGAGAGATTAGTCACGTATCACTGTTATTAATTGCGATAATGTTTCTTTTCTGAAATTAAGCAGAAACCAACTCCTGAAAAATATTCCAAAACAACTATAGCTAGAAAATTTTCCAACTGACCCCAATAGACCACCTAACACCAGCCTACCAAACCACCCTCACTTTGCAGTCCTACCACAACTCTGATTAGACAGAGGACCAGTCTTTAAATATTCTTTATTGATAACTAGTCATAGACCTCAAGCCAGTTTCAGCCAGCTTACAGAGACTGTACACAAACTGTCTTCATGCCCTATAGTTCACCTCTTGAAAGAAAGCCCAAATCCAGCTCATTGTAATGCCAAAACCCAACCCTAAAAGCA